CACCCACCGCCCCCTTCCCCCGCCGCCAGCCCCACGGGCCCCCACGGCCCGCCCCGGCCCACATCCTGCCGGCTTCGTGCGAGAACTTAAAAGGTCCTACCCTCCCTCACAGGAGGTTGCTTGGCTGGAAACGTGCGTGGGGTGCTTTCTTTCATCCTAGCATCATCCTTAAAAAGCGCCTGAAGCACGGCTTTTACCCGTCCACGTCCCCACTCTTGTTTATGCACAAGAGTTGTAACTACCTACTTACTTTTGCCACTTACAGACCTCTGATTAATACTAACATGCCTCTGTGTCCCTCATAAATGAACGTTTAGACCACTTCTGCCATATCTGCCCACAGAACTGTGTAGTAGCACTGTGGTGGATTGCAGTGCTATTTTTTGTCTTACTATCTTCTGTTGCTTAGCAAGCTAAAGGAAGGGTCCTTACAGAGAACCTTCTGAGAAAAACTTCTTCCTAAATCTTCTTGAATGCTAGTTGCAGTGGATTCTCAGGTGTTATTTCTTCCTTGTACTTCAGTTTATTTGTACAGCCATAAAATCTTACCTTTTTTCTATTGCTTAGTTACTTACAGTAGTAGAACACCTCTCCAGGCTTAAAAAACCGAAATGACGATGAACCAAGAACTATGGTCAGTATAAAAGTGATCCAGGAAGTTACCACAGCACAAGTATCACAAACAGGTTTGTGGGTTGGTTTTTTTTCCCCTGCTGTGCTGGGTTAAGCCATGACACCTACATAGTCACCTCTGCCTGTACTGCTCCTTTTACACAGCATTCACTTGTTAGGCCCAGTCACAAAATGTGCCTCTTTCAAAAAAACCTGAGGGACTGCTTCAGGTCATACTAAACTGCTACATGCCACCTGCAAGCAGTTAACTATTTTTTGATTTCCCCCTTTTAACGTCCATAGTTCTCTTTATTTTACTACAGAGGATTTTTTTTCCAGCTTTCTCCTTCTGAAAGAAAACAACATAAGGATATTTTTCTCTCTATTTCCTGAACTAGACCTATTCACCATTTCTTACCTCACATGCATTCACTGAACTGTTGCTCTGTGCAGCACCACTTGTCATAACTTAGTGTGGAAGGATACAACGGGAGAGAAAAGTGAGAGAGGGATAACGGCGTCTCCCAGTATTATTGTTGTTTTCTGGCATTATCCTCTTTCACGTTCCAGTGGCTTCTGTTCAGCTTGGAGGACTGTTTCACATTCAATTTTTGTGGGGGTACCACAGTTCAAGCCCTTAAAATAGGGTTCTGTGGTCTCACTGGAGATTTCTATGCCTTGGTTAAGACCACCCTAATGCTTGTGCAGACACATACCAAGTTCATTCAGGAACTGACTTGTCTGAAAAAGTGCGTATATTTGGTAAAGATGATCTTGACCATAATGAACTCCCTAATGAATTAACTCATGCAGTCGCACAAGCACTATCACCACTGCAAAGGAGAAGAGCTGGGACTACAGCACACCAGATGTACATCAGTTTGAGTTACTGTGGAAACAAGGTCACAGGCCCCTGCGTTCATCCTGTGTAGCGCCTAGAAACACTAAAAAGCAGCTGACAGTTGCTTTGACTCTGTGCACTGATACAAAGCCAATTATCAGTAGTCCTAGGCTGCAGGTACAGACTTGAAAGAGCAAACTGGAGATTTCAAACCAAAATACATATCTGTCCTTGCAATAATTTAAAATTCACACATAATTACATAAAGTTTCACAAGCACAAAGTGTGTTGAGTAACCAAGATACGGCTCCCCACATTAAAGTTTCACATGCACTGATCAATAAGCTGGAGTCTATCCATCACGTAAAAGCTGGGAGAAATGCGAGTTGCATAACTACAAAGTTTAGAATAAGCTTAAACAGAAGTACAAAAAGATGCTGGCTGTTCTGAGAAGTAGAAAAGAAAAATGAATAGACAGGTCTCCAAACGGCCAGGATGTTGAATTCTAGAGGACAATGGCCAAAAGATGGGGTACTGCTGTGCAAGTTGCTCTTTCACACTTCATAGCTCCATGTCTTAAGAGTTCAAGAGAGCCAAAGACACTCAGGATTTTGTTAACTAGCATCTAGAATGGTTTTAGAATCTCTCCTGCCATAACACTGCTTTGCTAGAATTAAATCTTAACTACAAAACTGAAAACATAATGGAAATTTTGTTGTTTTCCCTTTTAAGCTTGTCTGGCATAAAAAGTAAGCCCAGAAAAAGAAAACAAATAATATTCCCTATCACCACCGCCACCCAATCAAGAATGAGTGTTTCAGTGCCTACCAAGTGATTATAATGAATTTAATTTTTTATCTGTCCTAAATTATCATTCAAGTTCTGAAAGTAATTATTCACCTGCTTTGGAACTCCGAAGCTTCTCTGGTAGTTTTGTTGTTAGCGTTCTTTAAATAAATACCAGGCTTCTCTGTTTTACTATTCCCAGTTCGCAATTAATGGCCTAGTACTTCAGTAATAATGCCAATGGTAAATGATTGTCCAAACTCTGCAGACAGTATCACCCGCAACCCAGTTTCTCACATCACCCTTGAATTTATTCATCATCCGTTTTAATAACTAAATTGGTGAGCATGTATAGCCACAGTTACAGAAGTGTGGCTGTGACCTTTACTTATTCCTATATTTTTTTCGCATTCCTTATATTGTTTCCTTTCATAGTGCACATAAATGCACATACAACTCTAACTCCGCATTCAATTAATTTACAAGACAGTAAAAATGGCTTATATTGTTACTGTTAGCATATTTTCAGACTACAAGGTTTAGCAAAATTAAGATCATGCAAAAGCAGTCTCGTTGCTTTTCATTCATTTTTGAAGTGTATTCCATTTGTAAAAAAGTAACTAGGTTCTCTAACTGTCAAAAATACTAAATTTTTCAGTCACAAACTGTTACCAGAGAAACAGATGAACATGTATTTTAAAAAGGAAGGACGAACAGAACATACCTCGAACGTACTTCTGATCTTCCAAATAAAAATGGTATAGAGAATAAAAGGTATCTATTTTTGGACTGCATTTCTTTAAAGTATTCTCAGACATCTCCTCAGGACTGGTGCTGTTTGTAGGTCAGCACTGGAGACACCGGCAGAACTGGTGATATTGGAGTTGTAGTCAACACCTGATTCTGGAACACAAACATCTTTATCCTACCAAATGCCCAAAGAAAGATAAGAAGAATGGTGACATATTGGATCCAAGCAAATTTAATAATTTCCCAAAATCCTGGCTGATATTTAAAGAAAGTCAAGGAGTGTTAATGAAGAAACTCTGATACTCCCACTGCAATAACTAAACAAAGGAACTTGGAGGTGGAAAAGCACAAACTCATTAGATGTCAGTTTGTATGGCGAAGGCAAAGCCTCTGAGCCATGCAACTTTTAAAAGCCTTTTATTGTAGTGTGTAACAAAGGCTGCAGAGAATGTCTGTCCTAGAGGACATTTAAACAAAATCTGTGGAAAGTGCCTATTTCATCCCCAACTCATCAGAAAGTAGTTATTGGCAATACTCAGGCAGGTAAACAGACCTTTTAAGAAATGTGCACCATACAGATTCTTTCAAACACAGGCTTGTTCTTGTCTGAGAAAATGTGTAAAGAAGGTAGTGACCAAAGAATTATTTTGCGGAAAACAAAAAAAAAATTCAGGTCTGTCTGCGCATGTAACAGTTTTGCCACTCCAAGGGTTATAATTTGGTGAGCTTACCTTGCATACAGACTTCTAATGATTTGCTTTAGGTCACAGAATACAGTATCATGCTTTGCTAGTGGCATTTATAACAGATTGGGACAGGAGCAAAGCAAGACTTAGTAAGGATACCCACTGTGAATGGCTAAGAAACTGCCTTCAAGGCCAGTTTAGTAAAGCTGAAAAGCAACACAGGTTCCCAGTAGAGAAAGGCAGAAACTTGTTATGCAAGCAGTTACACAAGTTAACTCCAGAACTATAGCATTTGCTTAGCTAACAAAGGAAAAGTTTAGCAAGGAGTCTAGAAGAAAACAGTTTTCATTTGGCCTATATGTGAAAACCCAAATAATGCACCCCAGTTGTATCACAGTTTATGCCATTTTCTAAGGATATAAGATAACTTCCACTGGGTAATGAATAGTAGCGTTGATGATAAATGGTGTATCTGATGCTCTTCCAGTCATCCAAACAGGGTTGGGATCAGAAAAGACTGTTGTCACTAAAATCAGAAAAGAACATCCAGGTGAAGGGATGTTAAGGTTCAGTATTAATGGAGAACTCAAATCTTCATAGAACAGATGTCAATGTGCTAACTACCTCTGTCCTGTAATTTGCCGATATCCATTCAGACTTACCATTTCTATCCCAATATGCTGCAATGATGTTTGTCAGATCGTAGTCACTCGCAAAAGGACTTGTGCCATTGACCACAGACACCTGTTACCATGAAGAGATGCTTGCATTATTTGTCTACTCTTCAGGACAGTAATTCTACCGACTTTCTTACACAAACTAGTCATGTCCTTGAAGGAATGCACGTAAAAATCAGACTGAATATCTTGACAAAATAACCTCTTCCACCTTTCAGTCTAACAATAAAACACCAGTTCCAAAGTTCTAGGGTCCACTCTGTGCAGCAGTACAAATAATTACGGTGCCACCTATGTTACTAGGAGGATAAAGAGGGAGGGAAGTTGGTGGGGAAGGAAAAGAAGTTTCCTCACATTGTATCTGGTATCCAGTCCACCAGGGTTAAGTAATTGCCTCTGGTTCAGTTTCAGGTCTCCATTCATATAGAGATGAGACCCTGGCACAGGAGAAAAATACTGAAGAAAAGCCATGCTCTGCATCACAAGTGTTGACATTCTCTGAAATGGTGAACATGAGAAAAGAGAATTTTGGAAATTCAGAAAGAGAATTTGGAAAGGTTCTTTAATCCTTTGCATAACTGCTACTGGAATATTACACTGGGTCTATATGTCACAACAAATAAAACTAAAAATGCTCACGTAAAGCTGGTAGGAAAAGAGTAGAATCAGCTGAACACCAACTACATGCTCTGTAGGTTGTAGTGGAAGTTCCAATTTAAAATGCAACCGATCCATTTTGCCATCTTGATTTTTGTCTTCTTCTCTAGTCTGAAAAAAATCAGTAAGAATTTGTTCTTTAAAGATGGGAACTTGGTTGTGTTAGGGTAATGGTTGGACTTGATGGGTCTGTTCCAACCTAGGTGATTTCTATGATGCTGTAGCACTGGAAGTAAAACTGGACTGGTTAAAAAACACTCGTGAAGGTGTATGATAGGCTGCCTGCTCTCAGGCACCACCACTACTCATCCCCCGGTCTCACTCCTCAGCCCCGTTTCCCACCACCACTGCCAGGCCCGCCCCGGGCAGTCCTACCGACAGGAGTGGGACTCGCAGCCGGTCCTCCTGGAGCCTGTTGAACGCTGGGAACGTGCTCCACGCCAAGAAGCTGCCCGGGCTAGACCCGATGGTGGCCACGAAG